CACGTGGATGCCAGCGGACGCCGCGCGGAGAGGGATTTCGATGTATTGTCCTCGGGAAGAGGTGAGCCACGCTGCTCGAGTCATTTGACCCTGCGTCCACCCATCCTCCGTCCCGTCCGGCGGTCCGTCGTGCGTCTGCGAGCCCAAGATTATTATTCAGCGTTATCTTGGGCGGCGCTCACGGTTCTACGAGGTGGATGGGGGGGCACCGCCCGCCACCATTTTCTCCCAGCGCCCCCCCCCCCCCCCCCCCCCGCGCTCGAGATGGTGCTTTTCAGCGAGTGGTCGCGCAGCCTTTTGTCAATCCACCGCTGGATGAAGGCTTCCCCATGCCTCGTCGGACAGGGAGTTGTTTGACCATACCTAACCATGCTGGTCAGTGGGCAGGTCTAACTCAGATTTCACTGGCCACTGTGGTCTCAACACTTACAGCGTATTTTACTCTAACTCACTGCAGGCAGCACTTATCCGACAAATCAACTAAGCATCTTCATCCGTTCTATTTCATTTCATGCTTACCTTAATATGCCTAAGTCACTCATGGGGTCTACTTAGCCCATCATCTATCGCTCTGGGGTGAAAAAAATTGTTCCGATCTATGGGGAGTCAATATTGATTACCTATGGTCACCGTCATGGGAATGTGGAATTTCCACCACTAGCTCAAGGCCATCAGCAGAGAGGAGCCCCACCCCTACGCTCACACTCACTGCTCACGCGAGCAATGAGCTTGCTTGATGTGAAATAGCTATAGCTTCCCAATTCAGCCTGCAAAGGAGATAATAATAAATCTCACTGGCTCTCACCTGGTTGAAAAAGGACACTGCATTAAGCAGATACATAATAGGTCGTTTCAGAAGGCAGTGATTGTGCAGAATGAGATTCCTCTGTGGAGCGGGACATTGAGAGTGAGGATGCCTCCAGTACAGCGAACCCTTAATTTTTTTGACGTGCTTAAGGTCATTAATTTGATGGGGGTGTTTAATATCGAATGGAGTAGAGGTGTAGGGTCCTTCTTTTGTTTGTGGAGTGCAACCTTGCCTCTTTAAACGCAGTTGCAGGTCCCTCGAATTCTGCCCGCGCGTGCTGCTGCTGCTACTGCTGCTGCTACTGCTGCTACTGCTGGGAGCACCTCCTAAGATGCGGTTCGTTAAGTGGAGGCAGAGTGACGGCTCTCTCTCGTTTCACGAAGATTGGCTTAGCTTGCCCTATTTTGAAAGTCACAAAAATGCAATTCCTGTTTGTGCTTCACGTGCAAACGTGGTACGTGTGGCGCTTGTTTATTTTTGTACGGACGCCGCTCCGCAAATGAGAAAGGCAATGTGTATAACGGCGCACGCGTGCGCGCGCACCGCAGTTTTGATTAGCGCCACGGCGAGCGCCGCTGTTCGCCATGTATATTTCGGTGGGTTTTTTTACTGAAATGCCAGCGTTTTTTTCTTTTATCTTGCGTAACGACGAACAGCGTCAGGCAATCGTGGATCGGTGCCAAAATAAAAATAGAGATCTCTAAATCATGCCCCTTTGTCTTCCCATGTGTGCGCTGCCGGCTCTCGCTTGGGTAATTGGCGCATCTTCGCCGGGCCGCTTGCAGGATACGCGAGATGGAGAGAATAGATGAGGGCGATTAGGTGAAGAGGTGGCTGGCGCAAGGAAGAGAAAGAGGTTCACGTCTGCAGAAGGAACAGTAACAGAACGCTAGACCTTTCCTGCGTGTACAGTGTATGCGAACAGGGAAAAAATAGGCGACATTAAAAAAACCCAGCGACAGCAGCTGCCGTGAGTGAGCGCTGCATCTAAAGCGGCAGGCCGGATGAATATTAATCGGGCTGGAAGGAAGCCGCCCGCCATCCCTGCAGTGCGGCCGAAGGCACCCAGGTTCACGGCTTCTTCCACCACCGCCGCTGCGGACCCCCCCCCCCCCCCACCCCCGCCTCCGCCTGCTCCTCTATCCCCGACAGCACCCCTGCTCCCCTATATTTCCCCCCAACCGCCCTCCTCCCCGAATCCACCACACTCAGATCTCCGCCGGCTACCATTCCCACGTCTCGCACACCGGATCCGCCTAATTGTAGCCCCATTCCAAAGCCGGGCCCCCCACTACCAACCTACCCAATGGCGCCCCCTTCCCCTTCAGCTCCCCACTCCATTCCATCCCCCATTTATTGGGCCTTGTTTGAAACATGTCTGAATTTTTTAGACCGGTTGAGGACGGAGCGAGTGAGCGGGTGAGTGTACTATGCGGGTGGCCTCTGTAAGCGACTGTGTTGCTTATATTAGCTATGCTCCATAAATTTGCTGTTCGTCTCATAAAACGTGTTGGTCTTTTAACGAGATATTATGCGGGTGGTGTGTATGTTTTAATGGCCCTTTATGAATCTGCAGAGGATTTGAAATGGAGCTCGAGACCTGCCAGGGAGATGATTTCCTTTTGAACGTAGATAACAGGCGTTAATACCCGCAAATGGCATTGACGCAGCATTGGCATGCGCCACCAAAGCATTCACAATTCCAATTTGTGTGTGTTTTTTTTGTTTAATATCATCAGCTTAAAATATTTCTAATAACAATAACAATAATTCAATGTTGCATGCGCTTGCTTGTTTGCACGCGCGTGCATGTGTGTGTAGATATATATATTCTAACTGAAAATAGTGTTCAGCGTGGAATGGCCGGGTGTAAATTACGGCGCACACGCTGACAGACTCAACAATAAATGCCCCATCTCTGCTGCGGCAGATTTAAGTAAGGCTATAGAGCTGCATGGCCAGCATTAACTCAGGCTTGCTGCAATGCGGGAGCGGCTGCGTCACGCACGGGTCGTTTGTCTGCCAGCCGAGCCGAAATTACCCCCAGACAGCCATTATATCTGCAGCCAGCCCAGGGATTCGCCGGGAAAGGTCACGGCGAGATTTCAGCGGCAGAAATTGCAGCCATCAAACTGATTGCCTGTCATAGCGGCCGCGTTAATTCAGCCGGGAGAAAAAAAAAGTCGGGCTCATCTCTCTCAAAAGCGTTTGCTCGCTCTGTCCCAGCGTTCATCTGTCCGTCTCTCACCATTTTTCCCCTCCTCTTTTTCTCTGGTGTACGCTCAGTGATTTATTTATTTATATATAGCATTCTCACCCTTTGTATTCAATGTCTTGGGGGTAATTTTCTCTTAACTATACGTGCATTTAATCTCCGTAAATTCCATTGCCTTTCTGTAGGGGTTTTTCTTCTCTGTTGGAAATGAAAAAAAATAACAATGCCCACCACAATGCTACGTGTAAAAAAATCTAAGATTATTAAAAAAGCAGGGCTGTATGCTGTAGCCATCACCTTTCCCTTTGATATGTATTTTTTGTCTTTTGCAATGCGAGACGCCCCAGTTTGGTGTGCCGCCGGTATTAGTGAGGAGGAACGAGCAGGAGGCGGCATGACGGAGTGCGGCAAGCGGCTCTGTCCCGAGCCATGTGCGAGGCCGCGTGGCTCGATGTGGCTCGGTAGCTGTGACCGATGTGGAGCCGTGCCGCGTAATTTAATCAGAACGCGGAGGAGAAATGCGGCCGCCGCCGCCTCAACATCTCAGAGTTAGAAAATGGCGGCCGTGACGAGCAGCCTCCCCGCGCTTGGCTGATGGTGCTGAGGGAGCCCATCCTCCTTCAAATACGTGCGACGTTAAAAGCTTTTAAAAGAAAGAAGCTGACATAATCCTTGACCCACGTTCGACACAATTGGGAAAATGATGCCTTGCATCCTTCCACTCCAGCGTGTCCTGCCTGTTATTAATTTTTTTACACATTTTTTTTTACAGATTTGCGATGTAGGTGAGCTTACAGGACAGGGATGCGGCGGTGTTGTTTCCAGGAGCCGCAAGCAGAAACACTGGTTGTTATATTTACCTGTTCCGTGTATCGAGTGAAGGCGGACTGCTCGCCACGTACAGAAGGCAGTGGTTGTTACAAGCAAAGCCCTCCTTTTTCTGCGGGGGGAAATAGCCTCGCAGTGTTCACGATCCAGACTGTATTTTTACCACGCAGAGATGTGAAGTTTGGCCTTGGGAACCCTTGTTGAAGTGTTAAATTGCTAAAAAATAAAGCGGGTTGCATGTGTGCGATGAACCTGCAGTCGGAAGAGAGGCTTTTAGCGCGAGACGAATGGCTCGCTGTTATTGCCAGCAGACGCGATCGCTGCCGGAGAGTTCATCCTTCTTGCATTAATTCCCAGCCGGGCGGGCCCTGCCTATTGACCAGTGTCGAGGCCTTGCAGTCGATTAGCAGAATTGATGGGATTGATCGCCTCTCTCTGTGCATAACCCCTTCCAAACCGGGCGCTACCGTCTGGGCCCGAGCCAGAAACCTGGCTGCTCGGTGTGGCTTTTCAAATTCTGGCTGCGGCGTCAGTGTGGCACCCACACCACTGCAGCGCGGTCATAATGCCAAGCTGCCAGGAGGGGCCTGTAACGGTGTTTCAAGCAAAAGTATTTCATGTTTCTGCTGTGTAAAAAAAACGAAGACCAAGTTGAGAATTGTAATACGTTTAACAACGTGTAAAAAAGTTAACCCTGCCTCCATCTCTTAAAATTTAAGCAAAATACATTTTCCGGAGTAAATTAACCGCAAAAAAAAGTGCAATTCGGGGAAGCAGGGCCCGACTGGTAGAGCAGCGGTCCTGGCCTACATTTTAGTTTCCTCTTGAGTTTTGCGGGCGCGTGCCGGCGAGCAGGTGCGGCGGCGGCGTGCATGTGTGCGCGGGGCCCGGCGTGTCGATTTGAATGAGGCGGATCGTTCGGCCGGTATTGACTTTCTGGAGCCCGCAGCAGCAGCCGCAGCCTGTGCAGAGAGCGGTCTGCAGGGGCGGCCATATTTGCAGGAGCAGGGCGTCCGTGCTGCCCACATTCTCCGTGTGTCTCTCCAACCGCGGTGTTTTTCCCCGTGCTACATATTTTTTATTTGGCTTGTTGCTCTCGCTAATTTTTTTGTCATTAACGTTGAATCACTAATAAGGGACGGCCAGACGTGGGTTGTAAGAAATTGAGAGTCGCCGAAAAACAAGGCGGTGATTTTTTTCTCCTCCTCCTTTATGAGATGGATTGTGCGACACTATTGACGACTTTGCGCACATTTGCGGAATAAGCGCTCTTTGTCTTCGGCGCACTTAGCGGGGGGAAAAAAAATCGACGACGGCATATTCACGAACGCTCCTCCGGAATTCTCTCATGGATTCTTTCATCTTATTTTTCTCGTCCCGTTCACTTCAGACCGGCGCTCTCCCCTCCTTGGTGGGACAGGCCGGCTGGCTGAGCGGCAGCCAGAGCGGCGATTTGCTGCTCAAGGCGGAGGTGAGTACCCACAACCCTCACCTCCATTCTCGCCACCGCTTGTGTTGCCACATCGCTACATTTAAGCATTGCGCTTCAACTGTTCGTGCCAGCGTCGACATTGTACGCGTCCACGTGGAACGCGGTTATTAGCGCCGCACGTTCCAGTTGATTATAATTACCGCAAAATGGATGTGAATCTCCAACAAAGCTCTCATGATGGGCCTGCTAATGTGTAAATCTAATCAAACAGCTCGGTTTTATTATAACGTCTCGAAACGTTCGGTAAAATTTACGCTTAAATCAATAGTTGCGGCGTTAGTGAGTCCCTTATTAGGGGAATGAATCCGATCTGCACAGCTTAGCCCGAGTTAATGTCATCATACGTTTTTTTCTTCTACTGTAGAGATATGAACTTTCACTTCACCAACAAGCGCTGGAGAAATTGTTCTAAAGCATTCGACCTTTTGAAAACGTTCGTGTTAAGTCGTCGGTGGCGTTCATTTGCGTTCAAAAAACGAAATTGTCTGGGAAAAAAATCAATGCTAAGGAAATTAAGGGTTGCGTGCCGCGTCGTTCTTCTGCCCGGCCGCCGTGCGCAAACAGCTGCAGCGCCCCGAAGAACGCGTCCCAACGTCTGCAGCGAGAGCTGCCCGGCCTGCAGGAGAAGTGGGACATGCCGCAGACCGAGGTGGGCACCGGCGTGCACCCGCATGCACGCGTGCCGCCGTTCATCCCCGCGAGTGTTACACCCGCCGTCACGCCGAGCCTCGTGCCTCTCTGCGCGACCCGCGCACGGCACCATCACTCTTCGCGAGCGGACATCACGCTCGTCGTAGTGCGTGTGGCACACGTACCAGTGCTGGTGTCTGTCCGGCACATACAGGCGTGTGCAGACGCACGAGTTCGTGTGGTTTGCTCGTGATGCGGGCCGACGCGTACATGCTCGGAACTCACCACCCAGCGAAAGAATTTTGCTTGACCGCGGAGTGGACTGCGCGCGTGAGTGCGACTGTGCACAGCACGTCGGCATACCGTTAATTGTGTACGCTTCGTTATTTTGGAGACTTTTTCCTGCTGCTTTGTCGACCAAAGCTGAACAATTTTATGAGTGGCCATTACCGGCGTACGGTGCGAAAGTAAATGAGAAACTCTCTGGAGGAGGCCGCCTTTGCTGCCGCTCACCATTGCCAGCCACGCAAGCAGCTCGAGCAAAGCCAGAGCCGCGAGTGGCTTCTGCTGGGTTTATCGCCTGAAACTTCTTTGGGATGAAACAATGTATGGTTCGCCGAAAAAAAGCATGCTTGCGGGTGAAGTCTGTGTGTTGTTCAATGTTGGCGGATTGATTGATCGATTAAAATCAGTTCCAACGCACTCACAGTGCATGCTCTAAATTGTGCACGTTAAAACTGTTTGGGTTCCATTGGTACGCATTACGGGGTGAAGCAGTGGCACAGTGGTTAGCACACTCGATATGAACTTGTGGCAAGTGGTTTTTTAACCGTTTCTGGGCACCCCCTTCACTAACTCTCTAATCAGCATGGTGAAGTATGGTCAAACAGCCCCTACGACGGACACGGCGTGGGGACATCTTCATCCCGAAGAGGCTTAACATGGGGCTGTAAACCACATGAACTATAATTAATGTGACTGGTTCACATGACCCCTTGCGCCATTAGAGATCCTACACGCTTCCCAATGCAAAATAACATTGATTTTTTTTTATTCATAGAACCTCTGGAGCGGAAGGGCAGCAAATCATAACATTGCTACAGAACGACGTTCAAGAGCAGGGAGGAGGAGGTGGAGAAGCAGAGGGTAGGCGTGGAACCACTGGCCACCGAGCTGCTGGAGACTCGGGCCCTGCACCAGCAGTGCAGCCAGCAGGTGGGTCACAAGATTTTCCTAGCTTTCATTTTGCTTTTTACATTTCCCAAGTTTATCCTGATTGTGCTATCGGCGTCACGGCCACAAGGCAGAGAACAACCTTTCGCAACTCTCGCCGAGCGTTATTAGAGGACGGCCCACGGTAGCAAATGTCACAGAGCTACCACTGAGATCCCTTCAAGTGGCCTCTGGTCCACATAGTAGGGGCCAGCACTTTCTCACCTGCCCTGCCCCTGTTTGTCATGTGAGAGTCTAACCGATATTTTAAATGCTCAGAGCTTTTGAAATTGAAGTGCAGAGCAAAATATTTACGTGATGAGTTTTTTGCAGTCATTGGTGACCAACCTGAGACCATTGAAACTATTTACTATTTTTATTTTACCAGGTAAGGCCCACTGAGCTATATATATCTATTTTTCAGAAGCAACCTGGCCACAAATGATAGCTCAACGAAGTGGCTTATCACGTGGTAATTTGTAGCAGCCAAATACTCTAAACGCACGGTTCTTAATGCGGAGGGAAAAACCGGAGGACCCAGAGAAATATCCACGCAACCGCAGGGAGAACATTCAAACTCCAAATATACAGGCGTCAGGGTCGGGATCGAATCCGTGACCTCCTGTATACTAGGCGGGGTAGTTAACATCTCACCACCGTGGCTCGCATTTACTCACTACACTTGACAACCCAGTGTAATCACGGGCAGCTGCCTGGAGTCGATGTTAGCGCTCTAACCTTTGAGCCACCCGGCCACCTTTCCAGCTTATTCCCGTCTTTTATGTGTATTCCAGGGGTTCACTTACAGAAGCTCTGTTTCATTTTTCCTACTAATTTATTCATTGATTTGTTTCCTACACATTAAATTCAATTGGTGATCATTTTAGAGCAATCACTCACCCCTGTCACTGCAGAGGGCCTCTTGCAATGACAGAAAGGGACTGAGGTGTGTGTAATTCTAGATTTGAAGCTTTCGTGACTGCTAGGATCCATACTCTTTGGTTCTATTGGGTAAAGTCACGTAGGTGAAAATAAAATAACAAAAAATCACGACGTTTCGGCCACAACACAAGCGGCCTTCATTAGGTGAAGGGACGAGACTGTCTGGAGGACAGCGCTGGAGTGTTGTCCTCCAGACAGTCTCGTCCCTTCACCTGATGAAGGCCGCTTGTGTTGTGGCCGAAACGTCGTGATTTTTTGTTATTTTATTTTCACCTACGTGACTTTACCCAATAGAACCAAAGAGTATGAGGTGTGTGTGTTTGTGTGTCGAGGTGTGGCCCGCCAACAGGATTTCAAGCTTCAAGTTGATTTTGTTTAACCAGCTGAGAACTCAAGAGACGAGGGTAGAGTCTCATTTGCACACAAACATAATAAATATTACATTTTGAAATCGTCCACTAACAAATGTCAGTGCAGGCAAAATTACTTTTAAAATCTATCCCACAGTAAAATTAAGTTGTTGGAACATCCAAATAGATTTTGGGTGCTAATTGACCGATACGTAATCAGACAGGATGCAGTGATACTCCGGTTTGTCGGGAATACATTCCTAAAAGATGCAACGAGGAATATCGAAATGATGTAAATCAAAGCAATTTATAGGGTGGATGAGAGGCGATGGATATGAGAAAAGACGGACGATGCTGTTAGAGACGTGAGTGTGGGTTGAGGTGATGCAAATCAGGTCATGGTGTTAATAGAGTAATGACGTATTTGCGAAACGACATAAAAGGGGGAGACCTAAATTGGAGTGTTACTGTACACATAAAATACAACTTCACGTGAAATTATCGTACAGAATGGACGGCTCTGCGTCAATTTGTGATTTCGATGGAGAAGTAATATGAATTTCGTATTGGGCCCTCAGGAGAAGCTTCCCCCTCCCCTCGCTCTCTACCTTCACCACCCCTGAACTCCTCCACCCCGCTCCCCGACATGGCCTGTGTGCGGTGTGCGTCTCGGTGGAGGAGGCCGAGAGTTGGCTCACCCAGCCGGAGATGGGGGAGACCTTGGCCATGCGAACCAACAACCAGGAGCTTCAAACCAGGTGAAGTTTGGTGATGTGGCAGGGAGAGAGGCTATTGGAAGGGCTGGGGGATCATGACTGTGTATATATGTCGGACTTCTTTTGTTCCTTATGAAGGACAACAAACCAAACACAAAAATATAGGGGTTTTATTTGTATTAGATTGCTTAAATATACATGTGTCCTTAAACCAGCCACCACCCGACAGCCAATTAGTAAGGTTGTCACATAAACAAAGCATGCCATTTAGTTCCTAGTTCAGTACACCGGTGTGTTGGAGAGTAAACACGCAACATTTATTATGGATAATATTATGGATAATATTGGTCGCCAAAAGCCTATGTGTTAAACATACACAAAAAGCAGTTCTAAATCTTGAGCTATGGAGATCTGCGGCTCAACTATCATTCACTCCATCTCTCTGGCCTCTCTTTGTGTGACGAAAAAGGACCATCGCTCAAAACTTTGCATATTTACATTTTGCTTTTTCCATTTAAGACTGCGGAATTATTGAAAGATGTGTTGAGTTTTGTTGTTGATTGTCCTTGTGCACCACTGCCAATGCAGTGTCACCAAACCATTTGTTTGATTCTGTGACTTGTGGACTCGTGAGTTATTAAACCCCAGTGCCCTTTGGGCTGTAGCAGAGAGAACGGTTTAACAGAGGTGGCAGTAGAGGGTTGAACATTAAACACATTCGTTGAATTTGTTATACGTTTTAATTCTGAGATACTGGTTGAGATTATCAGAGATAGTGTTTTTTTTTATAATATTCAGTTTTGCCACGAACTAAGTGTGGTGATATTGATTTCTCCATAGCAATTTCCAAAAGTGAAATATTAACATATTGAATGGATTTTCTTTTTTTGTGACTGCGGGGCAGACAGCGACGACTTAGTTGTAAAATGAAACACATTTTAACCGTGCCCGTGCACGCCACTTCTTGCTTTCTTACTGCTGCATAAAACATATAATTTAGTTTGTCTGCCGGCATCTTATTATGAGATGGAGAGATTTCCATTCAGTACTCGCATCACGATGAGCAGCGGTTGCGCATTCGCCTCTCGTTGCAGGGGTTCGTGGTTCGAATCCAGCGGCCGCCCTGGTTATTGCTGCGGGTGTAATAACCGTGATAGTTTTAAGAGCCGTTTGCTTCACAGTGGATGTTAAAGATCCTCGGGCATCATTCGCAAGAGTAGGTCAATGTGTACCGGCATCCCGATCTACTTTTGCCAAATTCGAAAATTGCATTGCAAATTGCAAGACCAGTCGGTATCCCTCGATTTACTAAAAGGGATGCGATCTTCAAAAAACACACGGAAAACGACATTTACTCAATGGGAACGGCTTATCCCGTCAATTTAATACAACAAAAATTAGGGATGCATTTCGCAAAGGCATCCCAACTCTACCCCAACCTAAAAATATACACCACCTATATCACTTTTCACTATACAATAATAATGATAAAGAACATAAATATTAAAACGATTGAATAATGATTAATTTAAAACAAAAATGATTAACCATTTCAGGGAACTCACTAAATCTGCATGTTGAAATGACTCGAAAGGTGATGTGGAGGCGTTATTGTTGCACTGTAGAGGTACCGTGACGCTATTGTGGATGGATGACGCAGGCTTCCCGGGTGCTTCTTGTTTGATGATCTCATGGCACGTGCTGTCGTGAAATTTCGTTCACGCGGAAAATTCAATTTCATGAATCGAAAAGTGTCCAGAATTTCGTAATTGTGTTCACGCGAAATTTTGTCAACGGAACTTTAGTAAATTGAGGGATACGTGTGCTTAGTTGGGATTATACACATATCAATCATCGCCCCCTACTGGCAGACTAATTGTCCCAGGCCACTGTTGCAAATGAGATAATCCTGGTAACCTGAACTCTCACCCGGTTAAACAATATACTTGAGACACCTTTGTATGTGCTGCAGAGAATACTCGTCACATGTCGATCACAATTAATATAATTCTCAAACTCTTTGGTTCTTTCGGTAAGTCACGCACGTAGGTATAAAATAAAATAAAAATAAATCACGACGTTTCGGGCGCAACACAAGCGTCCGTCATCAGGTGGGAAAGCATGGTCTGCTGCTGAGGCAGACTGTTTTAAAAGGTTTGAAATGGGTGTAGCCCAAGGGTCCTAAAGAAGTGGCCGGGGCTAGTGATGTTAATGTGAGAAATTAGCAAGTAACTGTAAGATAGGAAAGCGGCCTCCTAGACGAGGACACGAAAGTGGCTATGTTAATATGAGAGATTAGCATGATGTTAATGTGAGAAAGTAGCATGTAACTGTCGAAAAGGAGGGTGAGCATGAGAGATCTAAGAAAGAGGCATAGAGAGACAGAGAGTCGGAAATAACAGCTGACATATGTCAACCAAATGTAAAGTTAACTTGATTGCTAAATTCAACCTCCTGTAAAAAATGAAGCCAGATCTACACGTTAAAAAGTTAGATGTTAACAAGATTGCCATCAATCAGAGTAACATCCCAATTTCTGACAGCCTAAAATCGGTACTAGCTAAAGGGTTGAATTTCGCAGTCTCTCCTAAACATATCCCAGTGGATTATATAATCGCCCAGGTCGACGTAGCCCTCAAAGGCTTGGGACACATCACGCTAAGAAACCCATTACCAACATCAGCAAGGACGAGCATTTTTAACTGTCAAAGTTAAAAAAAAACAGAGATGACATTGTCATCCTCTCAGCCGACAAGGGCAATGCCACTGTGATGGATAAAACCACTTACAACAAGATTCAGGACCTACTTAATGATGGCAGCTATACTAAAATCAACAGAGATCCCACCAACTTGCCTAGCTACAAAAACCAACAATATCATCACTAAATCGACTTCTCTAATCGATCAGACCAAGCAGAGCTCCCTAAAAGCTTCGGCTGCTAGACCAACCAGATTTTATGGCCTTCCAAAAATCCACATAGTAGGTACCCCACTCCGTCCTTTCGTCTCCACCATTAACTCACCCACCTAAAAACTGGCCCGATTTCTGTCTTGAGACCCTGCTTCCTTTCACGGGCAAGTACACCTCAGCTGTACTTAACTCAGCTTACTTGGTTTCTCTAATCAAGGACATCTCACTGTCTCCAGATGATTTGCTTATCAGTTTCGATGTAGTCTCTCTGTTCACCAATGTACCTGTACTTGACACCATTGCAATCATTGAAGACTTAGTCCAACAAGGACTGAATCCAGATGTGCCAACTTTGATAAGGCACTGTCTTACCAACACATACTTCACCTGGAATGGTACATTCTACATACACAATGAGGGTACCCCAATGGGTTCTCCCTTATCGCCAGTGGTAGCGAATGTTTTCATGGAGAATTTGAGACAGATGCCATCCAGACATCCACCCTACGCCCTTCCTTGTGGAAGAGATATGTTGATGACATGTTCGTCATCTGGCCACATGGCCTGCCAGCACTGAACCAATTTCTCAACCACATCAATTCCATACACTCGTCTATCAAATTCACCATGGAAGTGGAAAAGGATGGCAAGCTACCATTCGTGGATGTATTGATCGAGAAGAGACCTGATGTCTCATTGGTACATTCGGTCTACAGGAAAGCCACCCACACGGATGCCTATCTAAAGCTGACTCCCACCACCATCCAGCCCAGAAGAATTCCCTCATCAAAACACTACACCATAGGGCACATTGCATCTCCGACCAGCACCACCTAGCCAGTGAGTTGGAGCACGTACACCAAGCCCTCAGGATGAGCAGATACTCGGACCGTACAATCCGCAAAGCTGTCTCCCCAGCCATGCGGAGACAACCTGAGGCTCCAACCAAAACCATCACTTTACCATACATAGCAGGGGTTACCAAAAAGATTTCCAAAATCTTAAACAAACACAAGATCCAGGTTCGTTTCAACACAGTACACAAAATCCGTGATTTAATCCCATCTGTAAAGGATGTGATTCCTGACATGCATTACCCTGGTGTCTACAAACTGAGCTGTGGTTGCGGCAGCAATTACATTGGGGAAACGAAACGACATGTCTCGGACCGCGTTCGCGAACACAAGGCAGATCTGAAACACGGTAGGACCAATACCTCTGCCATTGCCGATCATTGTTTTAACGTTGTGGGCTCACACGAAATTTATTTTTCCAAGACGGAGGTACTCTGCAAACCTACCGGCTACCTTCAGAGATTTGTTCATGAAGCCATCCAGATATATAAACACAGACACAACTTCAACCGAGAGGATGGGTACAAGCTGAGCAATCATTGGAAGGACGTTATTAACCAGGTAAAGTCTTAACTGACTATGATGTTTCCATCCTACCTGCCTATGTCAGCTGTTATTTCTGACTCTGTCTCTCTCTCTCTATGCCTCTCTCCTAGATCTTTCATGCTCACCCTCCTTTTCTTCAGTTACATGCTAATTTCTCACATTAACATCATGATAATCTCTCACATTAACATAGCCACTTCAGTGTCCTCGTCTAGGAAGCCACTTTCCTATCTTACAGTTACATGCTAATTTCTCACATTAACATCACTAGCCCCGGCCACTTCTTTAGGACCCTTGGGCTACACCCATTTCAAACCTTTTAAAACAGTCTGCCTCAGCAGCAGACCATGCCGTCACACCTGATGACGGACGCTTGTGTTGCGCCCGAAACGTCGTGATTTATTTTATTTTATACCTACGTGACTTGTTATCAGCAGCAGGTAGTGCAGCAAAATCCGTTGTTGGACTCGTACCATGTCCTCAACGTCTGCTCCCCGCCTTGACCAACCCACAGCGGAGTACGGTCAAACAACCGCCATGACCCATGCGGCTCGTGGAGGCCCTCATCCAGCGATGGGTTGACCAAATGGTTATACATGTGCAGTCATTGCTGACCACACTGACACTGTTAATTGGGTGCGAAGCAAAAGTTAAAGAGATTTCTTGCTCCTAGGTATCGAGGCATTGGTGCTCGTCCATTTACAGCCCTGAGCCAGCGGTGGAAATTCCAGATTCCTGTGGTTGAATTTCCCACGTAGTGGTACTCATTTTATTGACCCCCGGAGGAATGATGGGCGGAGTCACCTGGCTATGCTTGAGAACCACATTTAATCTAGATTGGAACTCGTGATCGCAGCAGTGCCGGCAGGGTTTCTCTCGATACAACGCTGCCCTCCTGGGCCATCAGCCCGCTTCTATACTGAAGAGCTGACGGGCCCCACAGCCACCCATCTGTGCGTTGGCACTGCCGACGATTGTCCTTTGCTCTACTCAGGTGGCACGGGCAACGTCAAGGATCGACAATGTAGTGCGCTCGACTGAAGATGCTCAACTGCAACAAACTGCGCGGCGCTTTAGAGTCCGCTGGGACCGTAAGGGTGCCATGAATCGTCCGCCTGAGAATGTACAAAAATTATGTCCATAACGATTTAATATTGTTTCATTACGCACTTTGTTGCAACTATTTTTAGACATGAGAGGCACAGTTGTGTAATTGTTTAATTACTGTAAGGGCATCATGGGTTGGCGGCCCTGGCAATGGCTCTCCGGCTCTCACAGCGAGTGGAGGGCGGTTCTCTCTACCCCCTTAATTAATAGTGCGCTCTTCGTTCGAGATGGCAACGGTGCTGTTCCCAGCAACTTCCCGCACGAGCCGTGCGACGAGAGTAAATGTTACCGGATTTATTCATCACTGCTGGTATTGCCAGAGGTAATGGCCTCGCTGGGTTAGTTAACACTTCCTAATTGGTTGTGATGGCAGCGGTTGTCATAATAACTCATAACCCCTCGTTCCCTCCCGTGACCTCCTGCTGTCGAGCCTCCGCTACTCCACGTAGCCTTGAGGCATGCGCAGTGGTGAAGGTCGGGCGCGAGCGGTGTGGTAGCCTCACCGCCTCTTGTTGGTGAATAGCGGCTGTTGCAGCAGTTCTCCTGATAATGTCATCAGGAAAACTGATGATGAGAATAATGATGATGATGACTATGATGGTTAATAATGTTTGATAATGATGACAATGCCGATGGTGATGATCAGGATGAAAATTACTGTGATGTTGGCAATAATCAGAATCAGAAAGGGGTTTTATTCGCCATGAAAGTTCACACAGACACGGAATTTACTTTGGCAGGATGGTGCATACATTTAACATATAGGAATCTAAAATCTTAAATAAGTGGTTAACAAGTCTTACTATAATAAGGGTTCAGAGTCTAACACCAAGGGAGCTAAAGTATATAAATTTGAATGAATATCGAATATAAAATAGCTATAAGATACAATCTAAAAATAAAAAAATACAAATAGGGAACTTAGTTAATATTGGCAAGGTGTCATTTTGTAGATAAAATGTTAAAGTCAGTGTAAGCCTTGTTTAAGAGGCCAGCAGCGGATGGGAAGAAACTGTCTTTATGGCGTGAGGTTTTGGTTCTGATGGACCGCAGCCTTCTGTCGGAGGGGAGTAGCTGAAACAGAGAGTGTCCAGGGTGGGAGGAATCGGCCACAATCTTCCTCGCTCGCCTCATGGTCCTCGTGGTGTGCAGGTCCTCGAGGGTTGGTAGATTGCAGGCAATCACCTTCTCAGGAGTGTGGATGATACGCTGCAGTCTGCTCTTGTCCTTGGCAGTGGCAGCAGCATACCAGACGGTTATGGAGGTGAGGATGGATTCAATGATTGCTGTATAGAATTGCACCATCATTGTCTTTGGCAAGTTGAATTTCTTCAGCTGCCGTAGGAAGTACATCCTCTGGTGTGCTCTCTTGGTGAGGGAGCTAATGTTCAGTTCCCACTTGAGGTCCCGGGAGAGAATAGTGCCCAGGAAGCGGAAGGACTCTACAATTTTGACTGGGGAGTCGCACAGGGTGATCGGGGGTGAGTGGGGCTGTATTCCTCCTGAAGTCCACAACCATCTCAACTGTCTTTAGAGCATTTAGCTCTAAGTTGTTCTGGCTACACCAGGTCACCAAGTTGTCAGCTTCCCACTTATAGTCAGACTCATCCCCACCAGAGATCAGCCCAATGAGGGTGGTGTCGTCCGCAAACTTCAAGAGTTTGACGGACAGATGATTGGAGGTGCAGCTATTGGTATACAGAGAGAAGAGCAGTGGGGAAAGGACGCAGCCCTGAGGAGTTCCTGTGCTGATGGACCTTGAGTCAGAGACTTGTGTTCCCAGCTTAACGCACTGCTTCCTGTCAGACAGGAAGTCTGTGATCCACCTGCAGGTGGAGTCAGGCACGTTCAGCTGGAAGAGTTTGTCCTGAAGCAGGGCAGGGATGATGGTGTTGAAGGCAGAGCTGAAGTCCACAAACAGGATCCTGGCGTAGGATGCTGGGGAGTCCAGATGCTGTAGGGTGAAGTGGAGGGCCATGGTGATGTATTTTATGATGCTGTATTTAATGGTCATGATGATGGTGTTGGTATCAGCCCCCGGGTTTGCCCAGGCACAGATGGCGCTGGCGCAGGAGCTGGCGGAGAGCCACAATGCACGCCAGTCACCGAAGGCCGAGTGGTGCCAGCTGCAGGAGCGCCTGTGCGATGCCGTGGCGCAGCTCGCCTTGCTGCGCAAGGACCATCCTCCGCAACCTGGACACCGACGTTCGGCTGGCGAACCCCGTGGCAAGTCTCCCTAGCCGTCGCGACCCACGCGGGTCACCCCGGCCATCGCGACCTTGACACATCCCCTCCTCCCACTACGACCTCACCAGACCCCTCGACCATTATGACTCTCCCACACCATTACCATCCTTACAAGCCTCTCTGACCGTCGCGACCTTTACAAGTGTCCCTGACCATCGCGACCCTGACAAGTTACCCCATCCATTGTAAGTCTGCCCAACGCTTGTAGCTGCTCCCATCCCTTACGCGGTCTCGCCGTCACCTCCATGACCCCGAATACGACTCCCATAACCTCTAAAACTGCTCGGCGCTCCGCGCGTGACCGCGTTGATGCTTTTTTTTGGAGCTTTGGTGTCAATCTCGCCAAGCCTCTTTCGAAACAACGGCGAGTGACCGGCTTGGCGCAGCGTCCCAATGCGGCCGCGCCTCGAGACACGAAGGGCAGCCCTGTGGTATCAAGTATTGTTGTTTTTTTCCAATTTTTGTAATTATTATGTTTTTACTACACCAACATGTGAGCCTGGCATACTACACCGAGAGGTTCCAACAATAAGATCGAGAAAAAAAAATCCGCGGACATCCATTCCGACGTGCAATGGAACCACATGAAAGGGGGCGGAACGAAGGGGAATAGGGCCCTGATGCTCCAACCAGGCGAGGACCTCGCGTAATCCTATTTAGTTTATGCTCGTTTGTTGGTGAACTTTTTTTATACCGCGTTTTTGTTGACCGTTGAGTTTGGTCTGCGATCACTTTCTGACTGAGTGATCGTCGCGAAGGCCCACCCCACCCCCCCCGCTGTCTTCTGGCGACGCGAGACGAACTGCACGGGAGGCTTAGTGGCCTAGATAATGTACGACGGCGATGGGAATGACACAGGGCTATGTCTTCATTGGGAACACAATGTGCTTCATTGTTACAGGTCGGGACTGTCAACTTGTAGCAGAGGCCCTGCCCAATGGGTTTTTCAAAGGGGTTAGTGGAGACATTTGACTGAAGAGCCACAGTGTTACATTCGTATAAAATTCAAACAGCGCGTATCACAGATAGACGGCCTACGCGGCGTGTATATCACGGTGTGTATACATGTAAACTACTAATTTGCCCCCTGTAGAAGCGATGATGGCTGTGTTGGAAGTATAGTTACTTTATATTATCCTTAGATTAATTACAATTTTTTTTTTTAAAGTACGGTCTTTTTTGTCCGGCTGTGACACCGACCCTAGTTCAGTGACCGCAGGAGTCAGCGGATGCGCATGCCCTTTGTCTCCAGCAGCAGAGCATCTTTGTCTCTGTAGGGCGCTACGAAGGCGCCGATTCAGATCCATGAAGACAAACCGTTAATTGTACGCGGGAATGTAGCCTTTAATATGGACGGGATTGCCAGGTGTTGTAGGCATGGGGCTCCAAAGGTGGCCAAGAGATGGCGATGTTGAGCAGTACCCCCTGGTACATGCTGGGGTTTTTTCTGGGCTCTCCAAATTTCCTCCCACACGAAGCCAAGCCCTGATTAATAGTCTTGGGAAAAACGTCTTAATTATAGGTTCCTCCTGAAGGACAGTATTGAAACTCAATAGGGTTGTTTTCTGGGCAAATAATTGGTGGTGTGAATGGGATATTCAAAAATACACACGGAATAGCATTGCTTTATTTGTTAATGTATTAACACCTAACAAATGTATATTAAATAGGCAGCCAGCACACAGGGTGATGTTTGGATATCATCGCAATGGGTGGAGTGGTGGTCCAGGGGATCGCTCACTGCCATATGAACCCGACAGCCTGAGTTTGATCATTCTCTGTCGCCAACATCAGTGACGAGTGATGTCTGAGCCGGACCTCATGAAGGGGCGGGGGAGCCCCTTCATGAAACCTGCACGGACTGGTGAAGTATAACCAACACGCCGTGGGGAGGCTGTCAGAAATAGATTAACAAAGGGCTGTAAATTATTATCCTGATCATATGCAATGATAAATATGTATCGTGAGGAAAAGCATTAAAGCTGCAACTGTGTGAGTGTGTTTATATATGCCTGCGTATTGATATAGGTGTACTGTATATTTAAATGTGACTTTTTTACATATCTTTATATGCGGCACTCACGTTTTGGGTGTATGCAGACACGCGTGTCTACTTTCAATGCACTGATCTGCACATGGTGAAGGCGCGCGATACGAGAGGATGAATGCGGCGGAGGAGCTCTCTCTCGGAGACGCTGTGGGGGCATTTTGCTTCGAAAAACAAAACAAAAATTGCCTGTACAAGTGCCGGTATCGCGAGCGCGAACGAATGGCGGCGCTTGGTCTCATACAGCAACGACGGTGCGAGACTAATAGAGGCGTGCGCGCGCGTGTGTGCTGCACGCAGACGGATTGCATCTGTGTATTTTTCATTAACAAAGAGGCTCGTCTATAAAGTGGGGAAATTGGGTCATGGGATATATTATTTATTTCATGCAAACAAGCCCCTCGCGTTTTTTTCTCTCTTTCTCCGGCCGTTCAAGGGTCACCGAGCAAATGCATCTCAAAAGCACAATGTGACTGTCTCTCATAATTAGCTGCTACATGCTTAAGAGCATATCATTCTTTTTTATGTCAGAAGTCATGATTTATATAAATGAAACGTAAAGCTTTTTAGAATAAGGTTGATGTTGGCGCTCTGTGCTTTAATGGATATTTGTCTCTGGGGAGGGGACATTTGTTTCTGCGGCGAGCTGCTTGGCGGTGTACGTTTCGGCGTGTGTGTGTGTGCGCGCCCGCGCGACCGTGTGTGCGACCGTGTGTGTGCGATCGTGTGTATGCGAGACTGTGTGTGCAACCGTGTGTGTGCGAGACTGTGTGTGCGCAACCCTCTGTGTGCGTGACCGTGTGTGCGCGACCGTGTGTGTGTGTGTGCGCAAAACCGTGTGTGTGCGCGACCATGTGTGTGCGGCCATGTGTGTGCGGCGATGTGTGTGTGTGTCTGTGGGCATGCGGAGTGGTAGTGTAGTGGTTAGCGCATTGCGAACCCGAGTTCGATTCGTGCTCACGGCCAGCACCAGTGACGATTATCTGCAACTGTTCTGAGCCTCCCCTAGGTCGACTCGGCCTGAAACAAGTACCTGATGCAGTGTGTAAACATCACCACTCGAGAGACCAAGGTGGGCGCGTGTGGTGCCGACCACCCACCCCTTCGCGTGCCGTGCCAGCCTTCATCATAGGTGCTCGCTAACAGCACTTGCCCCAACAGTCTGTTGAAGGGTATGTGGGGGATCTTTGTCTTGTGTGTATGTGTCCACCGGAGCATGCCCGCACACCCCCCTCTCCCCCGCGGGCTGTGCTGTCTCCCGACGGCCACCATGAGTGTATGCACGACGACGCATACATTATCGCCCATTATTTACGTTGGTCCTAGCGCAGATTGACAAGGAAAGAGGGCTCTGGGAGGGTGCTCGGACAAGAACGGTGCTGTGGGGGTGGTGTTTTAAATGGGATGGTGTTAGGGCACGAGGAGGAGAGTCACACACGTACACACATACGGCAGCACAAACAATATAGACAAAGCCCATGCCTCTATAGCCTCTAATAGACTGTTGGGGCAAGTGCTGTTCACGAGGAAATTATGAAGGCTGGCACAACGCACGTAGGGGTGGGCAGCCCGTAGCACTCCTGACCGCCTTTGTCTCCCCAGTGCTAATGTTTAGTTATTAATTTAAAGCCGAGTCGAGGACTGGTTCAGTTATTTGTCGTAGGCGTTGGCCGTGAGCGGGAATCGAACTCGGGTCGCCGGGTTCGTCGCACAGTGTGCTAATCACCGTGCCAGCGCTCCCCAAACCGAAAAACAAAATGCACGGTTGCAAGGGTGCAAATCACCTGATGTACTACGATTGCGGTAAAATGGCGCGCGAACGTGTGCACGACACTAAACGCGTATGAAGAACCACGGTGTCGTAAACCGCAGAGAACCATTATCACGTACACACACGCATTATCATGTACACACACAAAACTCATAAATTCATAAATGCACGATTCAGGGGGGGGGGGGGGGGGGGAGGAAGCCCACTGCGATCCCAAATCATATCAAATGTGCGCCTTTATTTATTTATTTATTCATTTGGATGCACTGATAGATGCAGCACCGCTGCTGACAGTTCATACGGCACGGGTGGGGGGGAGTGGGGGAGACAAACCCCCCCCTCCACTCCCCCCCCATCTGAAATAACTGCGCATGCTGCGAGGAGTAAACGTTACCTTGAGAAATTGCCACTGCGATTTTCTTGTCATGGTCATCAAGCAAACACCCATAGCGGGGTGCCCAGGGTGGCTCGCTTGCCTGACACCGCTCTGACATCTGATTAGTAATGACTTCATAATTTCACCCGGCCCCCTAAATGGGGCCCCTCAGCAGAAATTCTAATCGTGGTTTTTCGTGTCCTTGTTCCGCAGCGCCGCTCTTGTTCTCACGAACAATTTTTGAGATGCAGAAAAAAAACCCAAAATGCCCGGCTGAACACGAAACGTTGAGACTAGCGGTTGCAAACGCGTGCCAACGTTGCGTGTCAGGCGATCGCGCCTCGGCCCTCGGTATTAAATGGGGGGGGGGGGGGGTTGGGGGGGGGCTCCTCGGCATCGGTTGCGATGACCTGGAGACGAAGAGAGTCTGCGGCAATGTGCGGCGCGTGGGAGCGCGGGATTGCCAGGTCCCGGCGAGCCGGGCGTCCTGGTCGGCCGCTGTGTAAATGAGCTGCGAGCTGCACGAGATTGCGGTTCGCGGGAGCGTGCCGGATTAGCCGCTTCTTTAATTTAGCCAATTTGCGCACAGAGCGGCTCGCTCGGAGAACTGTACAAATTGTACCCTTCTGATTTCTAATAAAAAAGACCGTGCAGGGGGGCGGGCGGGGAATGGGTGGGGGTGGTGGGATGGTGGGCGGGGGGGGGGGGGTAGCAGGACTGAAAAGCAAACGGGAAGATGGGAGGAAAAATAAATTTGTGCTGGCTCTCATGCACGCGTGCACACGTGTTGGCGTGCACACGCCGATTTGGGCCCTGGTGCTGGATTGATGGGCCTAATTACGGGGTGAAATCATGCGTGTGAAGCCCGAGATGGGATGAAGTGCCGGTTCTAGCGGTTCCACTCGGCGCCCCTCCACAGCTCATCCATCTTTGAAACGCCTTCATTTGCTTGATTTTTTTTACTTTCTGAAACCTTCCTTCTCATTTTCTTTTATAGCTGGAAGATACCAAGTGCTGCTCGGAGGGGGTGCGCGCCGAGCACAAGGCGGTTGACAGCAGACGTGGGCGCAGCCCTGGCCCGAGGTAATAACCCCACCTTGGGGGGGGGGGGGAACAGATGGCTCGATTGCGCGAGAATAATGTGCGCGTGCACGTTGCTTATCCATAAAACAATCACTCATTATGCCCGCATCTCCTCAAGAGCCACCCGTGTGGCAACTCCGCCTTATTAGCCGTGAACTGAACGCGAGTGCACGGGCCCCGTGCAGCCTCGCGGTGCATAGAAATGGCAGCCGGGTTTCGCTCGTGACAAACGCCAGTACGGTTGGGCTCTGGCTGCGGCTGATGCGTGTCCTGTCACAGGAGGTTGGCGTTTTTTAACGGCGCTCTAAGAGACCACATGCGCGAAGCCGGTGACGCGCAGCCTTTGGTGCAACTGAGATATATCAGAGCTGAGATATCAGGACGTCGATATTAGACCTGAGATATATCAGTTCTGAGATATCAGGACGTCGATATTAAACCTGAGATGTATCAGAGCTAAGATATATCAGTCCTGAGATATATCAGTCCTGAGTTGTCAGGGTTGAAAAATATCAGAACTGAGATAATAGACCTGAGATATCAGAACTGAATTCTCAACCCTGACATACCACGGTTGGCTACGTACGATGCGAAAAAAGTTCAGCATACATACACGAACATATTATACCTGACATCAAAACTGACATATCAGAGCTGAGATATCTGAGCTGAGATATCACAACGGCAATATGGCCTGGCTGAGTTTCTCAGTGTATAAAATTTCAGGTGTTGTCATACATGTTTTATATATGCGTTTGCATTATAAAAGAAACATGTTTTTGCCAACATAATTTTGGCCGACAGGCCATTACACATTTATACACATGTACGATTCTGATTCGCCTACCCTTGAATAATTGATTGTTTTAATTTGTTTGTTTATTTTTCTCTGGTAAATCTTGGTTGGAAAATGAAATTCTCGTTTGAATGTGGCCGGCCTGCAGAAGATGCACAATCTGCAAAGCACCAAGCGACAGTCGTGCGATACGACAGTGTAACATTCCGGCCCATAACGTCAAACGAGCACATGGAATCCTAGCGGGTCAGTAAGCTCCAGAGCTTAGCGTAGCCCTTTGTGAACCCCAAATGAGTGTGCGTGTTGTACGCGTGGGTGAAGGATTACAAAATTCTACGTCGGTGTGGCACGAAGACCCGGGCATCGGAAAGACGATTGTTTTTCTGTTGCTTGTTTTAGAACTCGAAAAGCATGGCGCTTGGGAATCATTCGCATCCCTCAAATGTGGCGTGTTTTGTGCTTAGCTTGTTTCGAGAAATCTACTCGTGTGCGGCGTAATAAAACGTAACTTTTAGAGTGAATCGGGGTCAATAGTCCGGCAACATTTATTCACTGCCGCTTCTCAAGAAAGAATCTTGAAAGAAATATTACCAGCCCAGAAATGGATAGATTTCCTGTGATTTATTGTTGAGTTACTCTATTTATCTCCCTTTTCCTGCTGCACCGAAGCCATTAGTTGCTGAGTAATTCGTCCTGGATGGTGACACGGAAAAGTAAAAAAAAGTAAAACTTTTGGTGATTGTTGAATGTGGCGATTCCGCGCCGCGTTCACGTCACAGTGCTGGTGAAGGGGAGGGAGGGCGGCGTTTTATGGAGGTGCGCGCCCGCGTCCCTCCTGCAGGGATACCCCACGCGGCTCCATCTTTACTCCTAGCTTGCAGTTTTTCGTGAGCTCGGCTGTGGTCGTGTCATCGTCAAAG